ATGCTGAGTCCTCAGGGCAGGTCATCCTTTCTCTTTGTTCATAATTTCTCTTCTAAGGTCCTGAAGAGTTTATGTTTAGTGGTTTTAAGAGGAACAATCTATCCAGGCAGAGTCATTACCAACAGCAGAGGAGGTGGGTAGATTGTTCTTAGTTTGAGTCATTGTCCGTTTGGCTGTGGGCAGAAGCCCCCTCTTGAATTTAGATGTAAAAAGCCAATATCTAAATCTGTCCCGGGTCAGACTACAGTGCCTTCTTAGGTGGGCTTGATGTTTGGTCCAATTTTGTAACTATGCTGGAGAATCAGAAGTAAATTTATAGTTTGGTTTCTGCAGTGTACACTTGAAAACACGCATTAAATCCAATAACCTTCCTGCCTTTATCCCTTTCTCAAATTGAGCTTCCCAGGGGTTTCCTTCCCCTTCTCCATTGTTATGTAGATTAAACATTCTAGACTTCAAATGGATATTGAAATTAAAAAGCTGATGGGGCAGACCAGGGAAAAAGAAGACATAGCGAAGCTGTAGACAGTTGGGAAAGTTTCTACTTAGTCGGGAATGCCACTTGCTTTTCTGGTCACTGCAGTAGACAGCAGAAGAAAGCCATGCCAGTCTCCTTGTGTCCTCTACGTTTAGATGGCAGAACATGAAGTTGACAAGGTAAAGAGGTTTCTCTGTCTATCCCCCACTGATAAAGGATGTGGCCTCTGACATGTGGTTTCTTTATTTCTGCCATTGAGCTATCTCTGTTTTTTGTCTTTTATATCATTGTTGGAACTTACATGGAAAGCTAGGAGTTACAGCAGGCAAAGGTCATCTGCTACCTGTTTAATGCACTGACTGGCACACTAGAAAAAAAAATTTTCCCTTGGCACTATGGTGTTTTATTTAGAAAATAAAAAAAACCTTTGAAAACAAAACAATCCTTTCTAACTTAATGAAAAAAAATATGTTATTTTTCATTGTGTTTTTGTGCATGAGTTATGGTGTCAGGAGCATGAAGGTAGCATCAGTGAGGTGGGCACAAGTCGAGATGAGAAGCAGCAGAGAGTGGAGATGGCCAGGGGCAGTGGCTCACGCCTGTAAACTGAGCACTCTGGGAGGCCAAGGCAGGTGGATTATTTGAGCTCAGGAGTTTGAGACCAGCCTGATCAAGAGCGAGACCTCATCTCTACTAAAAATAAAAAAAGAAGTAGCTGGGCATCATGGTGGGCACCTATAATCCCAGCTACCCGGGAGGCTGAGGCAAGAGGATTGTTCAAGCCCAAGAGTTTCAGGTTGCAGTGAGCTACGATGACACCAAGGCACTCTACACTCTACCCAGGGCTACAGAGTGAGACACAGTCTAAAAAACTAAAACCCAGAAAAGTAGAGACGAAGAAGCTTATTCCAGAGGAAACCAACCACAGAAATCAAAACTCCAAATCAAGACTGAGACAGAATCAACAATAGATCCCAGACAGATCTGACTGGATGCCAGGAGAACACAGACAAAAACAGGCTAAACATGCACAGAACACCACCAACAAGCTGCTTTGATGCTGAGCTGAGCAACTGAGGAGGCGGTGTCTTTAGTGGGGGAATCCCAGCTTTAAATATGAAAGAGACCAGACTATGGACATCCTTGCCAGGAACGTGCTTCACTTTAAGTTCGCAGGTTAACGTTTATTTGGCTGCAATCTCACTAACAGTTTGGCATCACCTGTCCTTCCCTCTCATTCCTCTCTCCTCTCAGCTGGGCTAGTCGTCCCTAATGAGCACCTGGGGAACGCTGCCGCCTGGTGTTCGAGATGCTGTAACTGCAAGAAAACTGATGCCTGGGAGGGTGGAGGGGCTGATTTGAAGCTCCTCTTTCCTCCCTTTACAAAAAAGGACAAATGCTTCTGTGACGACTTAGGTTAGGCTGTAGAAGTACTCAAACTAGAGAAGACAAGTTGAACGATTTAGGATAAAAATATATGAGAATAGCCCTATCTGACTGCAAAAAGGATGGAAGGCAACTGAAATGTAGAGTAGGCTAACATGAGGGTCAGCCATGACTGTTAGAGAGAATATGTAATTACAGAAACAGAACTTCTAATGAGGGAATAAGTAGAGCAAGTTTATGGTTAAAATTCTCTCTTGTTTTCTGTTCCTGCATCCCACCTTCTTCCCGTCACCCCTCCATCTCTGTCTTCTATCTCAGACGTGGACTTTGCCTTGTTATAAACAATCCACCTGTGTCCACTGCAACAGGAGGGGCCCCTGTTTGATCTCTGCACCTGACTGCCTTTATAGACCATCTACTCCCCTCTCTTTGACACTGGAAGCCTGCTTTGCTCTTATCTCCTGTCTCTTCTGCTCTGCTCTCTCCGAAGACGGCCTACTTACAGATTTGTAGCTACTGTTCCACCTCATGCTTTCAGAATTAACCCCCAGACTGAATATCCCACCACTGATCAGCTGGTCCCATCTCTGTCCCCACTGCTTGGGCTGCCTGGGGCCGGATCCACCTGCAGTGAGATCCATCTCAGCAGATACATCTTGTCTTTCAATTGATCCTTTTCTCTCTGATAAAAACCTGACCGATCAACACCATCGAAATACAACATACCACATTCGATATTCAATATGACAAGGCAGAGCAGATGGCATTTTGCAACTACTCATCACTTTTCGCTTTTCAAAGACACAGTTCATAGTAGATGGGATTTAAAAGAGCCAAAGTAGTTTTTCACGGTATTAACAAATCAGTATGGAAGTCACGCATCTTGTAATAACTCCCTTTTTGAACACCGTGCAAAGGAATCCTAAAGTAATAAAGTGGGAGGGAAAAGATGGCAAGAAAGCAGAGAAACATAATTAAATATTTAAAACATTTAAGCCTTCATTTGCGGTTACTATAAAAAATGTGCACTAATTTATTAATTATTTACCAGTGGGTATGTCCTATTTCTAGATTAAAAAAATTTAAAGAACTTAATCATAGTAATTGCATTCTCTTTCTTCTACTTAAATGCTGGGAGTTAGAATAACTCAAGAAAATTCTATCCCAAACCAGCCATGCAAATAATTGAAAATAAAAAGTTCATATTTTACCAGTACATTCTTCCTGCTTGATAAGTGGGTAATAAAAAAAGTTAAATTAACTTATACCAATTTAATGCTTACATAATTTATAATAACATTATTCCAAAAAAGAAACTACTTTTGAAATTTTAATTTTGGGCTAAATAATTAACTCTTTTTTGCATTTGTGAGACAGAAAGAATGCTCGCTGGTAAGTTTTCATTTTTCTACTGTAAATGTGGGTGAGGAGTCATATTCATTTTTCCTTTAATTGTATCATATTTTAGTTTTTATGACTCTTAACCTTGAAAAGGTCAAATAGGTTCTATCAAGAACTTAGTAAATTTGTTATTAGTTTTCTTTTACTCTACTTTCTTTTACTTTCATCTGTGAATGCAGAATTTCTTTTAAAAGACTGTATCATTAGTCAAATAGAATAGTCCGGGTAATTGCAAAAATTTTCATAGTATAAGATACAATTTTCTTTGAAGACTTAAGACTTAAAAACTCATTTTCTCCATCTGCTTTATAAAATCATAATCAAAATAAAATTCAATACTATGTAAAACACAGATAGATGTTCCCAGGGTAATAAAAAGGCATTCAGAGAGGGTGGCACCTGTGGTTCAAAGGAGTAGGGAGCCAGCCCCATACACGGGAGGTGGCGGTTTCAAACCCAGCACTAGCCAAAAAAAAAAAAAAAGGCATTCAGAGAAAGGGTTCTCTTTAATTCGCATCATCGAATGTTATCATTTCTTATATTGTAGAAAACTTAATTTCCATTAGTATATAATAATCGTTTGTTTGCTGTTGGTATTTATATTTACATAATGAGTCAGTCCATAACCTCCTCGTGTTTTCACAGTAATTGCACAGCTGAAATAGCCTATGAACCAAATATGCTGATGTGGTTGGCAAAAAGCCAGGTTGAACAAACGGACACCACGTTGTCTCAAACTGAAACCTCGAATGTTCCCAGTCTTGCCACAAAGGGATTATGCAACACGTCCAAGCTGCTCAAGGGCAGAACACTACTGAAAAGCAGCTACTTGGCTAAGTGTGAAACTGTATGACACACTTCTGAACTATTGGATTTAGAATTATAGTTTACATCCAACTCTGGGACTGTAACAACAAATCAGATTTAAAAAAAAAATCAATAAATTATGTATCACGTGCCCCAATATTTCTTTTAAAAAGTGGTAGACTTCCAAATTGAGGAACGATTTTTTAAAATTCATCATTTTAATTTACATGATTATGTAATTTTCAAACATTTTCTAAGCCTCTGCAGTGGTTAGATAGTAAAGGAAAAACTGCAATAAAGACAGACTTGGTTCGAGGTTACATCTCCGCCAGATGGTTCACTGAAAAATCACATCAGTGTGGCAAGCATTGAGTCACTGCAGAGAAGTGATCTTATCTAACATCTGCTCTGAAGTTAGTTAACTTATCTGCTTTAATTGTTGTTACTCCACCTTTATAAACATTATAAAATAATCCTGAACTCCATGAACCTGCAGAATATTTAGTTTCCTACTCCACCACCACATAGAAAATGATCTAACATAACCCACAGCTGCTTCTGTGAGTGGACTTTGTGCTTAACCTCCCCCCCGCCCCCGACCTGCGTAGACACACAGAATAGAGATTTCCAATTCAGGATAAAGCCTAATCGTCAGTCAGTTTTAAAAATTAAGATGGTCCTCTTGGTATTTCTGAATTTAAGACAAACTTATTTTGCTTTAGTTGTTTGAACTATATCAAACATTTAAGAAATATTTCTTAAACCAAAGGGAGGGGACATACAACATGAACAACAGGGTGAGTGCTCCGGCAAACTCAGCACTGCCGCAGTGTAGAATATGCTATTGAAAAAGGAGCAAAAGGGGCAAATAAACCCAAACAGGCCTTATCCCTCCTCCGTTCTAGACCAACAAAAATCAAGTAAGTACCTCAAATAGAAAGGTGACATAGGCCTTTCATCTTCCTGTGAACTAAAAGGAAAATAAACTTTGAATTAATATAATTTCTGTTAATACAATGTGTGAGTTTTACTAAAACTGTTCTACTTGTCACAGATTTTATTGTGACACCTTAGAGCCAATCTCATGATGGAGTAAGGTCAGTAAAACCGTGGATCTAGCCAAGATCAATCACTTTTTTAAAGGAGATCAATCTACTTTCAAGATTAGCCTCAGGCAAAAGTAATTCAGGCACACTTTCAAGAGAAAGCTTTTTACAATCTTATTCTATAAGCCCCTATTCAAGTATTCATATATTACACATAAACCCTTACAATGATTACATACTCATTTATCATTGTGGTATATGTTCACCACGGAATATTATGCAGCCTTAAAGAAAGATGGAGACCTTACTGCTTACATGTTTACGTGGATGGAGCTGGAATATTCATCTTAGCAAAGTATCTCAAGAATGGAAGAAAAAGTATCCAATGTGCTCGGTCTTACTATGAAACAATTTATAGCTTTCTTATGAAAGCTATAACCCAATTATAGCCCAAGAATAAGGGGAAAGGGGAGAGGGAGGGGTGAGGAGGGGGGAGGATGGGCGGAGGGAGAGTAATTGGTGGGACCACACCTATGGTGCATTTTACAAGGGTACATGTTAAATTTACTAGGTGCAGAATATAAATGTCCTAACACAATAACTAAGAAAATGCCATGAAGGCTATGTTAACCAGTTTGATGAACACATTTCAAATTATGTATAAAACCAGCACATTGTACCCCATGATTGCAATAATGTACACAGCTATGATTTAATAAAAAAAATTACATACTCATTTATTGACAAAGTTAATTACAGCTTATCAACATGATGACAAAAATAAGAAACAACCAACAAAATATTATGGTTAAGTCTAAGTCACTTCAGGAATGACTCTCCAGCAATGGAGAGCACATCAGAAAACAACCCAGCACTCCTGTTTTCTTTCTTCTTCTGTAGTGATTCTACAAGTGTCACCTACTGTGGATAACACGAAAGGGCACAGAAAAAAATCATAAACATAGTTTAAGCTCCTCAAATAACACAGAAACAACGTGAAGCTTAATATAATGGAATTCAATTTAAAAAATATAAAATATATCTTGTAATGGAATATTTTTTCTTGAACACAATTTTTTCCCTAATAAAGGACCTCAAAGTATGAATCTCTCCCCTTTGGTGTCCTTGGGAGTGGTCTTTGAACTTTTAAAGTTATGTGTTCTTATAAAATTTGCTTTTTGGTCTCTCCTCTCCTCACATATGACTGACGTGTATATCTGTGTGAGTTACGTGCATCATTGAACAGATAAACGTAGAAAGATAAAGTATTAGATAAAATGAAAAAGAAGCTCTAATGTTTTCTTCTTGTGTCCCTACGGTTACTCTTGTACACCAGCTGGGGTGTACACCACCTTTCAGCATTTGGGAAAGTAAATAGTTAACTTCAGTGTTCTTTTTCTTTTTTTGATTTTTTTGTTTTCTTAAGTATTAAGTATTAAGTAAGATAAAAAGAGAAACATTGGCTTCCATTGATAATATTAAACTGGCAGTCAATAAAATGTGATGACAGAACGATAGTGTAAAATACACAACCAAAAAAATCTGTCTTGGAAGTTGAAAACATCTTACCATTCTAGATGGAATATGGATCATCCCATAAAATATGATGTACTATGTTCCATTCTCCCGTGATCTCAGTTTCCAATTTCAACATCACTCAGGTGTCCTAGTGTCCATGTTGCCAAATATTTTAATGTTTATAATTAAATGTGTTAATTCTTTCCATCTGAGGGGTAAGTGACGCATAGCTTTATTATGCACTCTAATGTGGATCAGCTGAGGTCAAAGCTGGTAGCGTCAGGATGTAGAGTCGAAGAATTACAGGTAACACCAGGGAAGTGTCCAGGTGTCCTGGGAAGAAGCCACCTGGAGCAGTGTTACCACAGGAGGTGACAGCTTTAAGTCAACCTGACACAAGTAGCTTACACATTTGACATCGAGGTATTCCTAGAAATTACTTAACAAATTATAAAAATGTTAGAATTGGTTTTCTTTCCCAGTCAAGGAATTGGTGTCAAAAGTACTAATTACAACCAACATTGTGTCAAAAAAGCTACCACTAAAACCTGTAACAATTTTGTTATTATAGGAAAGACCATCATGTATTGTAAAATTGGTGATGTGCTAAATACTTTCTTTGCCTGTAAGAGATCCTTAATTCTAACCTGTAACAAACTAGAAAAAATATTGACATGCTTATGATGATGTACTTTGAGGTACATTCAATTTAACAATATGCTTGGTTTGTTAAAGTGCTTTTGGGAGATGATTTAAATGGGGCAAAAGCTCTATGCATGGACATTTGTGTGTCCTGGCTCAGGTTTTTGTGTGCGTGTGTGCTAAATTTCCTTACAGCAAACAAGGGCAATCAAAATCTATCCTTCTTTCCCTCACACACGTATTATCAGTTATGACTGAGGGCCACACACTACCCCAGGTCTACACACTACCCCAGGTCTACACACTACCCCAGGCCCTACGTTAAGCTCATTTAGATCCTCACAATATCTTTCTGGTATGTCTTTTGCTCCCTCTCTTATTCAGATGAGAAAAGCAGGCTCAAAATGGACATAACTCACCTAAATGACACGGCTAGTGATGTGTAAATTACTGTATTACATGTTAGTTCATTTTTGTTGTATAGTGTCTGCCTATAACTTATCAAAGTATGGTGAGGACCAAGTGCAATGGCTTACACCTATAATCCCAGCACTTTGGGAGGTCAAGATGGGAGGATCCTTTGAGGCCAGGAGTTTAAGACCAGCCTGGGCAATGTATAGAGATCCTTGTCTCTACAAAAAATATAATTAGGACTTTTAAAAAATTAGCCAGGCATGGTAGCATTTGCCTATTGATGTGCCTGCAGGCCCAGCTACTTGGAAGCTGAGATGGGAGGATTACTTGAGCCCAAAGTTTGAGGTTACAGCAAGCTATGATTGGTCACTGTACTCCCTATACCCTGGGTGACAGAGACCTTGCCTCAGGAAGTCCAGTGAGATGACAAGGCTAGGGAAGAAAACCCATTCGCTGGCCATTCTGCAGTCCAGCAGCCACAACATCTTGTGGATTATAAGGTTCTGACTTGTCATGCTTCGGGTTATAGCAACTCTTCATCACCTTAGTCAAAGTCCATTCACAATGTATTACGCCTGACAGCACTTATCAGGCTGTTAATTTATTAAAATATACTGCCACCAAATCAAGAATGTCTCTTGGTAGAAACATAAGTTTTCAATCGTAAGCAAACCTTTTTTAGGCTGCCTGTGCACAAAATAAATTTGTCAGTAAAAGATAAATTCTTAATTTGGCTACGTTTCTGAACTTTAATCAGTTTTAAGTATTCTACAAAAGAAAATGTAAGCCCTGAAGTTTAAGTAAAATGAAACAGGCTCAATATTACATTTAGTCAATAATCAGCAGACCACGGGGTGGCAATCCATGCTGGGTACCCAAGGAGAGCAATATCATTAGAAAAGAAAATGAGGGTAAACAAATCAATTTTTGTTTTAAAAGCCTATTTCTCCCTTTCCTTTCCTAAAAATACCATTCCCTGGAGTGTAATAATATAATATTGGCAAAGGTGTAAATTCAATGCAAAAGCATCACTTTCAAATCAATTAAGCTAATTAATTTCTACAATCAATTTAATGCACTGAATTTTAAGAAAAAAATGGCAAAGGACAATTCTTCCAAATAAAACCAAGAAAATAAACTTTTCCACGAAATTTACAAATCAGAATGCAACACATTTGAAAAGATGATCCCTTTCACATGGCTGTGCAAACAGGTCCCATACCATCAGCACAGGCTCTAACCTATCTATTGATAGAGGTTATGTCTACCTGTTCCTGGTTTTGTGACAATCTCAGTCATATCCAATGATATTAAATAATTTTGCCTAAATTTTAAATTGAACATAGTTGGTCATAATTTTTTCCTAAATTCAAAATTCTGATTCACTTCTAATTTTAAAAGCAGGCACACAGACTATGAAGGGAGAAGGGAGTGTGGGCCGTGAAACCAAGGCGACAGCAAACTGTAACAACTTACAATTCACTCTATTTCTTCCTTGGTTACCAGTGACAACCCCACGTTTTAATTATTTTCTATTTGTTGACGCTGAATACTGGTCAAGCTTAAGCAGCCAATTAGTTGATTTTTTTTTTTTTTTAAATTCAAACATACCCGAGATTTGTCCAATCACCTCACTTAGGACATGCAATTAAGGGCTTAGTGTCCTCCGCTACGTGGTACTATTCTCAAAACAACTGCCTGTGGGAAAAACATTTATCAAACAGACCCAAATACCAGTGGAAATCTAAGAAGCTGCAAACGAGAATGACAGTAACTTACAGTTTGGGCAGCTTTCTAGCCAACTTTTTAAAACATGGCTCAACATTGGTAAATGCATTGAAATAAACGACACATAGAGGGTCAGTCTCTTCGCAAGTTGCACGAATTTCTAAACTGAAGCCCAGAGTGCCATGCCTATTGTTCTAATTACACAGCAAGCAAAACGAAATCATGGCGTTTCTCTATCTAGGGAAACCCGATACTGTTGGGAGAATTCCCAGAATGAGGTGCTCAGAATGGGTCTCCACTGCTCCATCACACCGCCAATTCATTCGCTTCCTCTTTCAACTGTCCTGATAAACGTCCCAATTAGTTCAGCTTTCTAATTGGTTAATGTGACTAGCTACCCTCCAATTTAACGTAATTTGCATGTTACCCACGTGAGATACATGTTAAAATGACTGGAGATAGAAAGAGTAGTTTGCAAGTGTTCCTTAAGAACTGAAAAAGTACAGAAAAACAAGCAAATGCTAAGAATTCGGTTCCATTCCTGGAAGAAACTAGCAAACACCATCCATGGGGACTTAAAAACCAAGAACAAAGAGGAGAAGAGGCAGAGGGAGTGAGTGAC